TTTTTGTTCAACTATCTCTCTACTTCGCAATCAATAAAATTAGAAATTAGTGATCTGTTTACAGAGGCTTGACACAAACTTCTGAATTGTTAACTTGTTGATAAACGAAAAAGAGAGTGGAGAAAATCAATTCGACAATTACAAACATTCTTACTTCAAAAAATATCTTTAAAAAGTAGCTACTCTTATATTTCTCTTCTAGTCATCTTCGATATTTGCAAGGAACAATTTCTAGAATTTTCTGATCTAATTCTTCCACGTTGAAATGTGTGAATACAAAGTGTGAAAAAGTCAATGTTTTGACAAGTAGAAAAATGAAATTGAAGACGAAGTGATAAAACTGAAAGCGAAATAAGTACAACATTATTAAATTCTAAATTAAGAATATTTCAGATTCAAATATAGATTTATTAATTACTTTAATATTCTTTCTTGTTGCAGAATTCCAATATAATTGGAAAGGGCAATCTCAACTGAAGAATTTAGAAATAATAAAAAAGCAATTCATTTTCTACTACAAAAAATTTTTGCCACTCGATGATTCAAGAGCAATAAAAAAAGTAGAAAGATTCTTCTAGAAAAATGAAGAAGAATCGCTCAACAAATTGCAATATGTAGGACTAGAACCAAATTATAAAAAATCTAATATTGAAAAAGGGATTCGTTCAATTTTACTTTTTTGAAACCACAAATTTATAATTGCACATATTATGAAAAAAATCATCAAATATCTCTTAATATCAAATTGATAATTATTAATCAATTTTAGTTTTTCTTATTTTTATTTGATTTATTGTTAGTTTGATTTTTTCTTTATTTTATATCTTGTTATTTTTAAATATATTATAAAATTTAATAATAATATAAATAATGTGTATAAATATTTTTTTCCCCCATTCCTAATAGAAATTTCACTGAAAAATTACAGATAGAAAAGAAATATTATTTAGAAAATGATCATTCTTTTAAAAATTTGGATATTATAGAATTTTGAACAAATATGTTATTTTGTATAAATGAATAATCCTAATATATTTAATACAGAAATTTTAAAAATTTATTTGCGATAATATATTAAAATATTAGCAGGTTAATGCAATGTTGATATCCAATTAAAAAAAGTTATATATATATATATATTAATAATCTTGAATAATTAAATGAAAAAAAATAAAATTAAAATTATATTTAATATGATTTCATGCAAACGTAAATAAGTAGATTAGGTCTTCTAACGTCAGACAGCATCAGGACAACATCTCTGACAATTGAAATGTTACCAATTTTTTTAATATTTTTATTTGTATGTATTATAAAGCAGATAAAATAAATATTAATTTTTTTTTCGACACGTTCCAATCGCATTTGCATGGCTAAATCGATTAATTACACTTGCTGAGAAGTGTTGCTGTACATCGTATTAAAATTACTGTATCTATCAATTTTAACCAAAAGACATATGAATTTTATTATATCATATGCTATTTTGCGTACATTAGTTTTCATAAAAAAAATTTTTAACACTGCCCCCTGATCAGAGAAAAAATTGTGCTCTATATTATAATAAAAATTCCAATTTTGTACGTGATTACATTAATATTGAGATCGTCAACATATTTTTAAAGTTTACGGAATCCATCGAAATTCTTCGCTATTTTAATATTTAGTTCATTTCATTGGAAGAAACAAGGGATCAACAAGAAACATCTATAATAATATCTTTAACTACCTTTCTAAAAAGATAGATGAAGAGAGATTACAGCCATCTACTAGTAAACATTTATAAAAACATTTTAAAGTTGTTATCGAATGCTAAGAAGAAGCAAACAGAATTAACAAGAAGATTCGAGAAGAGTGACATTCTTACTTAATATTCGCATATATATGATAATTGAAGATAAAGAAAAATTAAAAAGAAAAAAAAAACAGAAGAAAAACATAGGAAATAAATTTAACAGAATTTTCATGCCATACACAGAATTAGAATATCAAAACTAAAAGAGAAAAACAAGAAGACTGTCTATGTTTAGAAAATAATGAAGGATTGGATTTAACACGTTTAACTTGTTAAAAATAAGAATGTAATAAGAAAGTATTGCGATATTCTCGAATGTTCAACGATTATATTTGCGATAATAAATTATATTAAAAATTTTATATCAAAGTTTCACTTTGAAATAATTATTATGATTATTTTGTTGTTTCATTTTAATAAAAAGTATTCTAATATTGTTAATTCATAAACAAAGAAAAAATAAAAAGAATAAAATATTATATTTTGCTTATTATTTATGAGAAAAAGTTTAAGAGAAGTTGAACAAAGGAGAAGAACTAGAAAAATCTTTCTTTTTTGAATTTGCAAATATAATACGTAGTAGACACAAAGTGATACCTGGTTTTTACTTTTATTGCTAGAGTTTAACTTTACACGTATATTATGACTTTTGACCGTAACGGTAAATTGTACGTGTGCCAATTCAAAGTTGATCGCTAAGGGTTAATTATGACAAAATGTTTATTCACTAAACTTCTTAAGTACATCGTAAATTTTCTTCTTTACAGTTTTGACAGTAAATCTTGATTTATTGACCGCACAGATATATCATGCTTCTTCCTTTGTTGTTTTGAAAAGTTGTTATTATATTGAATAAATATATATACATTTATAATGTATTTTTCTTTTTGATTTCTTTGATTTTTCTTCTTTTTTTATTTTTTTTTTTCTCATTTTCTCTTTGTTTTCATATTTTCTTTTTTTTTCATTTTCATAAACTAATTTCTAAATTTTGATTGTTTTAAAATTAATCGACAATGGCAATAATTGGAATTTATAAAACTTTTGATAAACTGATAGCAAATGAATTCTTCTTTAGAATCTTAGTGAGTTATTTCTTTACGAGTTTTGTGTTACATTACTTATTAATATTTCAAATTGTATTTCAATTAAAAAGTGAAGATCTGAAAGTGACTTTCAAATATTTCAGAAAGTTACTCAAGAATAATAAATATAAATATATCACTTAATATATCAATATAATTTAATATATAATTTTATAAATAAAACATCTTTAATTTGTAAAAAGTGAATGGTATGTATTCTTCTACTTTGTTCGTACGAACTTTTTAAAAAAAATTAATTATAAAGTTTCGTTACGAAGAATTCGAAATATTTATATTAATTCTTTCAGATTTGTTTAAATACTAGAAGAAATTTCAGGAAGAATGAAATACGTGTAATTTTTCCTAAAATGATAACATCTAAGAGAAAAGAAATTGATCTAATTGTTTGTCTTTAATTTTGATATTGTTAGCATTTATCAGTATTCTCTTTAAAAGAAATATCTCAGTCTTGAATTCTATCAGTTGTCATTTACTTTTCGTCCCAAATGACTCAACGTGATTCACGTGAATGTTGCATGCTTTCTTTTTAAATTCACGTTATATCTTTTTCTCTTTCATCGTATTTATTTGTGAAGGTTTTAATAATAACACAATTTTTTAGGTTTTAATTAACAAGAATATTTTATTCAATTGAGAAAATTTAACTATAAAAGTACCAATATTACATATAAGTTTATTCATATTTATATATACACAGAAAAAGATACAATATCCGATTCTTTTGATAAATATTATTATTATATCACAAAGTTTCTTATTTATTACATATCACAAAATTTCTTATTTATTACATATCACAAAATTTCATATATATCACAAAATTTGTTATTGACTACATATCACAAAATTTCTTATGAAATATCTTTCAAAATAAATTACCATAATATTTTACAATTTTAAAGTTACATATACAATTAAATATAAAAATATATAATATATAAAAAATTAAATACAATAAATATAAAAAACAAAATAAAATTTAAAAGTACAATATAATACAATATAATGAACAATATAATATACAAAAATATACAATAATATATAAAATATAATACAATCTATACATTTATACAATTTATAATTCAATATAATATCATATGTTACTAGTAAATTATTAACATTTCAAAAAGAATGTTAATTCATTATACAATTTGTTATTAACAATTATGCATTATATGATTTATAAAAAGATATAAAATTTCTTTTCATTTTGTCCTAAACAGTCTTCTATAACAGTCTTCACTGGAATTTTGTTCTATTCAAAGCTAATAAAAAATTTCCTGAGCAATTGCAAATCTTTCTGTAATACATGCTTTTAAAAATTCTTTGATATTAAAAGAAAAAATATATATATATATACATATATTTACACAATAATAAATACCTCTAAATATCTATATTATTATAAAACTATTGATAATACTATAATACAACCCTGAGAATTGTCTTTTCAGATATTCAAATTTCTCAATATAATACAAATATAATAATATAATATATCTGTAATCTAATATGTTTACATATATACAGTAAGAAAAATATTGATATTATAAATAATTTTAAATTATTATAAATTTATATATATAAATTATAAAAAAATACTAAATATTAAAAGGAATATATAATAATTTAATAAAATATTAAATACTAAAAAAAAATATTCAATATATTATTGAATATATATATATTCAATATAATATTCAAAATATTAAACCAGTAGATGAATCTATTTCAACTAAATCAATGAAAAGAAATTTTGTATAATTAAAATGATAAAAAAAAAAAAAAATTGCACATCACTAGATGAATCTAATTCTATTTCGACTAAATCAATAAAAAGGAACTTTGTATAATTGAAATTATCAAAAAAAAAAAGAAAAAAAAATCTAATTCTATTTCGTTTAAATCAATAAAAAGGAACTTTGTATAATTGAAATTATCAAAAAAAAAANAAAAAAAAAAAAAAAAAATTATATCACCAAATATCACTAATCATTCTAATTGCAAACTCTCACTAGGACTATTTTTTTCAACAAGAACTGTAAAAGAACTGTAAAAACTTAAATTTCTTTTTAATCGGTAGCTGTCACGAATAATTTTCAACGATAATCCATTATAACTTCCCGAGGATCATAGTAATGATAATATTTGTAATGCCTACGAAGATCACTAACGTTGAAACATCGCCTTCCACAACATTGACACTGCAATAGTTGCTTCACATGTTTCACGTGATGTTTGCGGCATGCTATTTTGTTGTAAAACTGTTTGTCGCAATAAATACATTTAAATATTTTCGGTGGTAAAAAATTATGTTCATCCTGTGGAGTCTGCGTCTTATCCCCTGTTCTGTCCTCGATGTTTGATGGCCGTATGTAAGTTTGTTGAGAGCTACTAGCTTCATCGTGTTGACTGTTTGTCCCATGTGTCGCATTAGAGATATGATCAAAGAGAGAATCGATGTCAAAATAAGTGGCGTCCAAGATCATGTTCTCTAATTGTGACAACATTGGGACATCGTCGAACACTGCTAAGAGCTGTAATAAAAATTTTCTGTTACATATAAATCATAATTTGAAATATTATTATTAGACACTTTAACTCTTATAATAATTAACAATTGCTGATCATTGAAATTTTAATTAATATAAATAAAATTTAATAAATACCTCGAGATCGATGTCGCCAATGTTGTCCTTCATGGCGCCTTACTCTCTCATTTTGATCATTACGGAAGATGCAGTAATTTTGAAAATAAGAATAAGAATAACATGATTGCGATTTACTTTGCACTTTCTTCTCTACGACTAGTAACACGACTGTAACTCGAATGATAACTCGAATGATATTTTAACTTTAAGTCGTCTAATTTATACCTACGACCGACCGTCTTGACCACCCCTATTTTCGGTGGTAGGGATATCTCATTATACCTGACGAACTCGAAAAATGACTTCCGATTGGGTATTCCGTTTTCGGGGGAAAGGGAAACCCAAAACTATTGGCCATTTGTATAAATTTGTTTAGCTGATTGGTTAAACATCTCCTTCCGGAAGTCCTTTCATTTTCTACATTGTCAAATTTTACAATGCTAATTTCTTAGAAGTCATAAATTAATATTGGAAACGTGTGCAAAAATACATATTGTACATAAATACAAATACAAATATTAATATAATATTGGGTGCAATATTAATTATTTACAACGTTGCACAGAATGCATGTGAGAAAGTGGTTGAAAACTTTATCCGAGTATGAAAAAAAATATATCGAAAACAGAATAAACTTTTTCTCTTTTTTTTTCTGACAATCGCATCTGAAAATATGAATCGTTCTTCTCGATATAATCACGTTTGATTCAATAATATGGTTCGATAATCGACCATATATACATATATTGCAAGATATGAAACAGGACTACACGTGTTGATCTATGCGGAAATGATAAGAAGTAGTTAGCTTCGATGATTTCAACATTGCATCGATGCACGACAATCGTAACATCTATCATAAGATAAGATTTTTGTTATTTAAACTTTTATTTACTAGAACGGTCTTGAAAATACGCTGTGACAAAAAAATACAGCGATTTAAAACTCTCTGTCTGCAAAAAAATTATTAACTTCTTCCACACCGTACGATTTATATCATCCAGTATCGATATCTTTGAAAATAAGATATTCAATCACATCCTTTTTCCCTTAAATTTTCCCTTAAATTTTCTAAACTCAGTTTTCTCAAGCATCAAGAAATACTAAACCGCTATTATTCATTTACTTTTTTCAATTATTTTCATTCGTATCTCGCTTACTAGAACGGTCTTGAAAATACGCTGTGACAAAAAAATACAGCGATTTAAAATTCTCTGTTTGCAAAAAAATTATTAACTTCTTCCACACCGTACGATTTATTATATCATCCAGTATCGATATCTTTGAAAATAACAAAGATATTCAATCACATCCTGTATTTTCCCTTAAATTTTCCAAACTCAGTTTTCTCAAGCATCAAGAAATACTACGCTATTATTCATTTACTTTTTTCAATTATTTTCATTCGTATCTCGCTTCGAAGTATATCCATACATTTTGCAAAATATCATCCATTTTGAATTCACATTTCACCCGAATTAATTGATATTAGCCGCAAGACGAGGCGCGCTCGGGCTCTTAATTCCTCGAGTTGTACCGCGTTTCTTTCGCCCTTAAATCTCAATCGTTCGGATCGAATCGGCGCAAGTTCGATCGGTATTGTCTTTTATCGAGGCAACGTGCGGTATCTCGCCAAGTTGGAGCAGAAATAGGTCGTGGTAGTAGACCCTAAAGCAAGTGGGTGGTGGCCGAGTAATCTTGTTCTCATACATAAAACATACGTACAGAACGGCATTATGCTTTGCCCGCTCTTCTTATCGTCGAACGCGATTCGCGGCCATTTCTCTTTATTCCATTATCCACAGATTCGAAGAATTTCTATTACTCGATGCATCGTAGCGTACATCGACGTATCAAGCGGAGAGTAAAATCCTATTTTACGAATTTTTTCCAAAATTTAATTTAAAAAGTAAAGATATAAAATCGATATTGAAATTTGATATTTGACTTTCCTCCCTAAAAATCGTAAGTTGATAGTGCAAAGAAAACTTGGCTTTTGTACTTTCAAAAATACTCTCTCGATTAAAAGTAGTACAAAGTAAAGATTGGACAACTGAAGAGAGTATTGAAGTATTATACGTTCTTAATTCCAAAAAATGATTAAAGGAAACAAGAATCACGATGATGTTGCAAAATAGAGAGAAGAGAGGGGAAAAAAGGAAGAAGTAAAGAATTAAACGAGGTTCACGTTTTACGGGCATATCTGCATATTATGCCCATATATCTGACGATATTTTAAATGGCGCATCCTATTACGGTGTTGACAGATTTGCGCCAAGGAGCTGGAACGATCGACCGATGAAAAAAGGAAGGGGTGGAGGGAAAAAAGACCCGGCAATCAACCCTTCTTCCCTCTTCCACCGATCGTGTGTTTTATCAACAAGGCCTAACGCGAGAGTGATTAACGAGGATATTCTCCAAGAATGACGCGGCCGAATTTCAGCATCGTGATCGTATAAAATCGTCTAATATACACGGTGTCTCGAAAGTCGACCATACACCACGAAACAGAAAAATTTCAATTTTTCCCCAATTTCTTTTCCTTTAACAACAATAACGACGAATATTTTCAATCAATCGCACTTCGATCTTAATTAATTAACACACACTGGATCGATCGAAGGATGGAGAGAGAGCGAGCGAATAAAGGACGAGACGATTTGAGAATCACTGGGATGGATAAAAATTCAACCGATGAACGGTCGATTTGTAAGCGGAATGTTATTACCACGGCGGAACGGTATGCCCAGGTATTAATCAGTGATATACAATTATTGCCACGTATCGATAATTATTGATTTGATGGAGATCAGCTACCCACGTAGCGGGGTCTCGATCCACGGTTATAAAATACGATCGTCTCGAGGTCGGGATCAGCGAGAGAGACCTCGCGTCATCAACACCATCGGGTTTCGCGAGTGGGTGGATTGAATCGCTGGACGATGATATCGCGAACGGTGCGTGAAGAAGGAAGGCAAACAGTCGGATGGTGGAACGGAGGAGCGTCGAGGAGCGCGGCCTCCTCTTCGATTTAATGCGCTTCTTGTGTCTTTCCTTTCGTTCCAAGGCCACGCCGGCTGATTTGCGCCTCGATCGAGGAAGTTCGTGAGAAATGATTTATGGGAATGATCGAAGATGATAATCGAGGATGATGCACGAGGTAAATGGGTATTAAGGTTGAAGCTTCTCTTATATCTGTAAACATTTTCGATATCCTTTTTTATTTCGAGGATTCAGAGTAATTTTACGATACGATAAAATTCCAAAATACAAAGTATCGATACAAAGAACTTCGACAATTAGCATTTATTCGATATTTTCCTCGCTAGAGAGACTTTCTCTACTCAGTCGGTGTAAAAGAGTTCGTGATTGAAGTTCTCGCCATGTCGAAATCTCAATGTTTACGATATTGTATCGACCTTTCACCCCTTCCCCACCCATCATAATTCATTTCGTTTAAAGTCGAAAGAAGGTAAGAAGCTAGAATTCGAAATGTCATCCGCACTTTCTTCCGGTTTCAAGCACATTTTCGAGAAGTTTCGAGAAATGTTTTCGATGTCCATTGTGCGAATACTTGTACGATTTGTTCAATCGGTTAAATCGATATTTTAAAACGGTGTATCCACGCTGTGGAGGCCGCTTAAAGTTGCAAGTAACCGATCTCTACCAATATAATTTGCATATCAGATTATCGATCGGAGTAAATCATTGCAAGTCGGCAGGCCTGTAGAACTGCCGGAAGGGAAGCCGATATTCCCCCGATAATATTGATTCCTGATTGTTCTTTCTTTAATTACATCATTCGTCTCGTGCACGAAAACGGTTAATTAAAAGAAAAATTTTCATCGGTTGACGATCGATGAGTAGCTGTGGGGAAAATTCAACATCATCGATTCTCGGTTGAAAGGTAGATCGAAATATAATTTTTTTTTCTTAATAAGCTATCGTATTATCTGCACTCCTTTCTTTGCTTTAAATTAGTCGTGGTCTCAAATCTTCAGGTTTCATCAAGGAAATTTTCGAATAGTTTGCTTGCACATGTATTTCTCAAAACCTGTGCTTTTAATCTTTAACCTTGTATAACCTTGCTTTTCAATATCTCAAAAGAGATCGGTAGGTACAGTAAGCTATAAAAGCTCTTTACAAGTCTTTGCAAATCTTCCTCAAGAAAAATTCACTCCCCATTATGAAAAGTATAATTTCAATGAAAATTTGGATATATATAAAGCGTGAAATCAATTTTTTCATGTTTCATGAAAAATATTTTTCAATATAGAACAATAGAGTATTAAAATCTGAATATTTTACAATTTTTAAAATATTTAAATATTTAATATTTAAAATAATAATAAAATTTTTTAATATTTTACAATTTAAAAAATTACTCTTGTACCTATTACGAGTATTTTAGAAAAATTTCAGGAAAGTGATATTCCACGATAAAAATAACCTTTCGTGCTTCGTTTTCGATAACACAACTTATTAGATCAATTTAGAATTCAAGAGATCAATAAAGAGTTCTGTGATTGAAAATCGTGTATCTCGAAAATTTTAAATACTGTTCAAAGTCTTCTCTAACTTGGAATATTCTTTTTACGATTCATAGAGTGAAGAGATTTCTCGAATAAAATTCCTCCGTCCTATATCTGCACTGTATCGACAATCTATATTTGTACATAATTATTTCAAGGACGCATGTACATCTCTACCTGAAATTTTACATCGATCGTAAAAGATGTGAAAAACAGGGTCGTAAAATCGCTTCTTGTCATCAGGCTGAAAACTGAAAATTCTGCTACCATGATGACTCATTCGAGGGACTTTTCATCGGCAATGGTCACCGGCACTCCGAATGTACGCCGTTTCCTCGACAGGAACCAAGATTTATAAGTACACTAGGAGATCTGTCGATATCGCGTAAACAACGTGTAAAACTGTCAAATGATAATGGCGCTTTTGAACGAGCGAATATGTGATTTACAAGTATGGTGTGTTTGGATCTGCTACTTTAAAATAGAATTTGCACGTGGCCAGAGTTGCCACGAAATTTC